GCAATGCCCTTTCCCAGGTGTCCAAGCGGTACTTGCACACCACCCCTGACAGGCAGCTCCCCACCTCCAGCGGCAACGCGGTCTGCCGGGTCCACACTTGTCTGTGGGTGCTGCCATCTGAACCTCTGGAACTCAGCCTGTGCCCTTGGGGCGCACACAGCACTCACGTCCCGGGGCTGACAGCACCACCCCCCACACCCTGGCAGCAGCTCCCGGGCCCAGGCTTTCCTTCTCCTGGCTCAGCATTCCAGTTCTTTCTGCTCACATGGCAAGGCTCCCAGCTCCCAAAACAAGCTGCAGGAGCACCTCCCTCCCAGGCCCCGGCCCTGCGCCCCGGGGCAGACCTCATGCTATCTGGCCCTGCTGGGGTGCCCTCACCCTGCCCTCCCTCCAAACGAGGGCTCATTTGGCTCTGACACGGAGCCATGCTCACCCTGGAAGGCAAGTCTGCAGGGGTCCTGGGGCAGTGGGGTCACTGAACCTGCCCTTTGAGGCCCAGCTCTAGCACCAGGGTAGTATTATCTGTCCTCAGGACACAGATGAGGAAGCTGAGGATTAGAAGTTTCAGGAGTGGCCACGCTCACACAGTGGGGGGCAAGGCCAGAACTCCCCCAGGCCTCTCTGACCCAGAGCCGTAGCCAGAGCCCTGACCGGAAGGTGGCACTGCCCCTCAGCAGCCCAGCGCCGAGTGCTGTGGCCGCGAGGAGGGGGGTCTGTGTGCCAGGAGACGGCTGCACTTCAATGTTTGCACACCTCACTCCACTCCATCTCCCCTCACCCCAGAGGCCGCCTAACAGATTCCCACTTTGCAGATGAGAAAGCAGAGGCCCACAGAGATGCCAGAACTGGCCTTAGGTCCCCGGCTTCTGGTGCTCTGTGCTGACAACAAGCGTGGCGTGGAAAGTCCCTGGGGAAACACAGATTATGAGCCACAGAGGGTTTCCTTGCCAATCGTGCTGCTCCAGGGCCAGCATTAAACCACGACTGTCCTTCGGGCTCAGAGGCCAGGCCACAGGTGACAGGCCTGGTGGGGCCCCCGGCCGAGGGAAGCCACCCTGGTGGAGTCCAGTGAGAGAACGAAAGCCCAAGTGAGCAGGGCCCCGGCCTGCACCCTGGAGCATGCACCACGGAGCATGCGCCACACCTGCCTTCTCAGTCTTACCTGTGCAGGCTCAGGGGAGGAGACCAGGATGAGGCCGAGGGTCCCACTGTTGCAGAAGGGGTGCCACACCTCTGCCCCACGTGCCCCACCCCTGGGGCTCCCTCCCCACCAGCTCTGTGTCCACCTACAGGTCCTGGGCCCTGCCAAGGACCAAGCTCCGGGGAGGCTTTCCATGGTAGGCAGGCCTCCCGTGGGGGCCCCTCCAGACCCACCCGGCTGGACTGTCCCAGCCCAGAGGGCAGCAGCCACCAGGCAGGTGGCTCACTCTGACACAGGAGACCCAAGACCGATCCCAGACTCCACCAGCAGCAGACCAAGGCACAGCACCCCTCCCCAAGCCTCTGTTTGCCCATCTGTGACATGGGACCACGTGGGCACTCTGAACAGAACGGAGCTGGGGCTGGGAAGCCCATGGTGAACTGTGCCACGTTGGCCACACACTGGCCCTTCCCTGCCTCCACTGCCTGTGAGTCCTCTTGTGCAAGGCCAGCACCCCAAGACTGTTGGTGGATGGTCAGGACCAGGTTGGGGACAGAGCGAAAAGGCTTATCTAACCGGCCCATTGTCTTCACTGGCCTTTGCTCCCGGGCCACACTAGGTCTAGGAAAAGCCTCCGTATTAGCCAGTCCTGCCCAGGAGGCCCTGAGCTGGGTGGCCCGACGTGAAAACCTATTCAGGGCCAGCACGATCTGTCTTCTTGAAGGCGCAGACCATCCCCGCTGCTCCACCCTCCCTTTAAACCAACAAAAAACACAAGCCAGAGAACAAACCCATCTTATTTTGAGCAGCTCACATTTTTAATCCAAACTTTTAAAAGTAAACAGGGCCATACAAAGGCTTGCTGGAGGTCCTGGTGTCCCTAAGTTAGCTAAAGGGGAGTGTCCCCAGTGGTGGGGGAAGGGAACAGGGCTGACTTGCACAGGGACAAGCTGGGGGGTGGGGCACGAAGGGTGGGGGAAGGGCAAGCGGGAACTGCTGGAAATGCTTTTGTTTGAAAACTGCATCCATGCAAGGGGGCAAACCTGGCTTTCTGGTGTTTGGGGTTCACCTGCCTCAGTCGGCCCCACTGGGCCACAATGAAGAGCGCTGTAGTCCCGATTTTAATTGGCCCTCAGTCAGAACTGAGTGGGGGGAGGGCTATTTGCGCTCAGTTGCATTCTGAGGCCTGCCAGCAGCCCTGCCAAGGACTGAGCTGCATACAGATGGGCCACCTCCCACCACAGCCTCCTGGGCCTCCCAGGGCACCCAGCCAGTGGCAGGTACTCTGCAGCTCCCAAGGGAGGACGACAGGGTCCCCGTTCCCCAGGCTCATTGGCAGGTGCAGCCAGACACGGGCCCAGACATTCAGATGAGCTGGCTGTCTGAACAGCAAACAGTTGTAAAGAACACTGAAGTCTGCTTGGCAAGCCCCCAACAGGGTCCCCACTGGTTTTTCACGAGGAGCCTTCGAAGAAATACTCATGACCAGGACTCTGACAACTGCTGAGACCTACTGTGTGCAGACCCTGGCCTCCCTTGCCCTCTCAGATGAAGAGGGCACTCTGGGCTTACCCACACAGAAGAGCAGAGAGGCTCAGACAAGTCAAGTAACTTGCAGAGAGAAGAGGAGCGGGGACTGGTTCAAATCCAAGACGGCCTGACCCCTCTGGGGAAAGGGGTTATCAACCATCTGCTCAGTGGTCACCGATAAGGAAGTGACACTTCCCAGGATGAGAGAAGGAGGGCAAGCCCAGATCAGGAACCAAGAATAGGGAATCACCCTTGTCTGCTGATTAACAGGATCAGCCAACAAGACTAGAGCCCAGAGATGCAAGCCAGCCTACCACCAGGGCAGGGGAGGACCCCAGTGGCCGTCCCAGGTCATGCTCAGACCCCTGTGCCTCCACTTGCTTGTCTGTAAAGTGAGGATAATGCTACCACCTCTCCCAGGGCTCCTGTGAGGACGAGCTGAGACCAGGTGCACAAAGCAGCAGCCCCGCATCTGACTCATTTCCCCACCACTGGGGCCGGGGCTCATGGGTCCCCTCTCCAGCCTTGCTCTTCACACAGCTTGAACTACAATCCAAGGACAGAAAGGCCATTTGTAAGAAAAGGGCCTTGTCCCGGTTTCCGGGCATCCTGTCCTTGTTGGGAGAACACCTCAGGTCCAGCCCAGTCCTCCACTCCTGCATCCCTGGCAACCACAAGAGAACTTCCCTGCAAATATGCTGAGACACTCGAGCCCTCCCATGTCCTGCAGAGAACTACTCTGGCCAAGTGTCCTCAGTGATGCAGCTGGAAACGAGCAACATTTCATCTCCCAGCCACAGGACTGCAGCAGTCCCCTCCTTCATGCTGCAGTTGGGGAAATTGAAGCCCAGAAATCTGACCCTCCCAAGCCCGCCCCGCCCCCCACCCAAGAAGGCTAGGCCAGAAAGGCTGGGACTGGGGCTCCTCACTCCCCAAACCCTGAAACCCCAGCAAATGAAACCATCTAACTCTCCGCTACTGCCATTGGCCTTAAGGAGCCTGTGGCGGGAGGTGGGGTTGGATACAGGTTACCAAAAGTAACCTGAGTTGTAGGCGTAGATTGCTAATCAGTAACAAAATATCCCTCTCAACCCAGTCCTGCCCTGAACTCGCAGAATGGGAAGGTAAATAAAGGAAAAACTGGGCTACACTAACTTGCACCCCACCTCCTGGGTACAGTTCATATCCCAGCCCCCACCCGAAAGCACCTGCAGAGGCCACTTGGCCATCAGACCAAAGACAGAGCGTCCTTCCCCTGCTCAGGCTGTCACTCTGGGGAAGAACAGTCACTTAAGGCCTAATGCACGTTCTCTGAACCAGGAGAGCCTTCAGCAGAACCAGAAAGAGCTGTTTAATCCCCACCTTCAGGCAAATTGTTCAGTTAGTAGCAATTGCCACCAGAACTGGGAGCCGAGCCACCAAAAATGTGGAAAAACAGGGAGGCAGCGCTGCGGTTCAGCTCTACAGACCAAGCTGGGGGCTCCCTGCCCTGGGCGTGGAAGACAGGAGCTAAGCTTTCCTGAGTTCAAAGGTCCTGCCACCCACACCCTGGCCACCCACCACTGTGGCACTTCCTGTATGGAGACCAACAGTTTATAAATTCTTTCAGAAGCTTCCTCTCCACCTCAAATCCCCAAGGCAGGGACCATCGGCTCCATTCTACAGATAAGGAAACTGAGGCACAAGGGGCACACAAAGCCAGACCCATGCATCCTCTGGAAGGTGTTAGAACCTCCGTTGAGAAAGGTCTCTCCTCCCTGCGAAGTGCAGGACTAGTAAGAATCCAGGAAGGCTCTGAGCCTGGGACCTCTGGCGGGGCTGGCTGCCTCTGCGTCTCAGCCGGGCTCCTGCTGCCTGTGCTTCTTCCCGGGCCACAGGCAGCACCAGGAGGCCCAGGCATAACCCCAGCCCCAGCTCACGCACGGATGCAGCTCTGTTTTGGGGCAGCCTGTTGCTCCCAATGAGAGGGAAAATTCACTTGCCGCTAAGGAGGCCATTCATTTTTTTCACACAAGCTTCCTGCTGGCCCACAAGGATTTCCAGGCAGGGAGGAGGCGCCCCCGAGCCAGCAGTGTGTGCGGCGCCTGACACTGACATCGATAACCCCGCAGGAGAGAAACTTTCCTGGGGTCTGGCAGTCCTGCCCGGCTGCGGAGGAGAAGTTGGGCAGGGGCCCGCCTCCATCACTTGGCCAGAAAAACACCACCCAAAGCCCTGTTGCGGGCGGGCGCGAGATCTCCCAGCCCCGGGTCTGGATGCCAGCTGGCGGAGAGGTCTGGCGCGGAGGAAGGGGCTGCGAACCGCGCTGTCCCGCCGGCGTGGTCCTTACCGTGCAGGCCATTAGGGATGCTTCGATGGTGCGGTGGCGCCGACAGGTCGTCCAGGGACCTGCGTGTGGGTACGGCTTTGCTGTCCGGGACCTTGTGCGGGCCTGGGGGCAGCAGCGGGGGCGGGACGTGGTGGTGGTGGTCTGGGCTGCCGCCGCTGCCCGCGCTCGACGTGCTGCTGCCGTCGCCCACGTCGCGGGCCCCCGTGCCCGCCGCGCCGCCCGCCAGCGGCCCGCTCAGGCTGGCCTGGCTGTCGATGGAGCTGCGGGAACCCGCGCCGCCGCCTCCGCCCACGCCGCCCGCGCCCCCCGCCAGAGCCGCGCGCTCCTCGTCCAGCAGCAACACCAGCTCCTTGAGCTCCAGGTTCTCGCGCAGCAGGGCCTCCTGGCGCGCCTCGAGCTCGCGCAGCTTCTGCTGCGAGCGGGCCACCTCGTGCCACACGGCGCCGGCCGCGTGGCGCCCGAAGCGCTGCCACTCGCGCGCCAGCTTGCGCCCCTTCTGCCGGTCGTCGTCGAGGAAGCAGCAGAGCTCACGCAGCTCCTGGTTGTCGTCCTGCAGCCTCTGGTTCACGTCCTTGAGGCCGCGGATCTCCAGCAGGTGCTGCTGCAGCCGCCGGTTCACGTCGCGCATCAGGCCGCCGTGCTCCAGCATGAGGCCCACCTTCTCGCCCTCGGCGCGCCGCAGCCGCCGCGCCAGCTCCTCCTTGCTCCAGCGCAGAAGCTCCTCGTCCGGCACCTGGCTCAGCTCCTCCGACGCCGCCGCCGCCGCCGCCGCCGCAGGGGGCTTCGCCATGGCTGGGCCGTCACCGCGGCATCGCCCGCGCCCTTGCCCGGCCGGCGCTCCCCGCGCCGGGGCTGCGCTGGGCCAGTCCGCGCGCGGGCGGGGGGCAGGCGGGGGCGCGTGCGGCCCGCCCCACGCCGCCTCGCGAATCTTCACGCAGCGCCCGCCCGGGCCCTCGGGACCCCGCGCGTCTCGGGTATCCGCGAGCGAGGCTCGCTGCTGTGGCGGCGGCCGCCGTGCCGGGTGCTCTCCGGGCTCAGGCGAAGCAGGCGGAGGCCCGCCCCCGGCCCAGCTCCCGGAGCACCGGCCGCCCCGCCCACTCCGGGCGGGGAGAAGGCGGAGCCCCGCGGCCAGGCCCCGCCTCCAAGGGAGCGAGGGGACGGGCAGAAGCGCGGCCGGGCCCCGAGGTCCCCCACCGCGGTGCGCTCGTCCGCCCGGCGCCCTGACACAGGCGCGTCGGAGCCGTAGTCCCGCCCTCCCGGCCGTCCGATTGGGTCTCTCCGGGGGTGTGTGGGAGGGGCGGGGCTCACGAGGGGGACGCAGCGGAAATGGTACAGTCCACCCACTGGGCTTTTAACACTCCCTCCTCCCTCTGGCGGTTCAAGTTTCTGCGCCGGAGGAGGAGGCCTGGGCCAATCCCAGGGCTACAGGGCGCTTTTAAAATGCAGGTACAGTGCGGGGAGGGCGACGGTGGGAAAGGTAGGGCCGGGCTTCCCTTAAAGGAGACGCGCTGTAATGCGTTCCGAGCCCCTTCTCCCGCCAGCGTACCCCGCCCGCCCGCCCTCGCCCCACGTAAACAAACATCCCGGACCCGGGGGATAGGTCCCCTTCTCCCTCCCGGGGCACCAGGGTCCGGCGTAGTCTGAGCTCCAACGAACAATAGGACTCTGACATAGGGGTCGCTCTCCCGGCGGCGGGGCGGCTCTTTGTCCCCTACCCTGCCCCCGGCTCCGCCACCCTGATCACCACCCTGTCCCCTGCCAGAACGCTCAGAGGGGGTGCGTCTCCACCCTACCCCGGGACTGTGGCTTCGGCGTCCGCGCACCCGGAGGACCGTACCCTCTTCTCTGACCCGAGGGGGTCGAGGGCGCGGGGAATACGCCCCCCGCCCCGAGCGACGCTCAGAGCACCCCTCTCCGCCCACCCGTCCGCGGGTCCCAAGGACTCTGGAGTGAATCTTTGATTTGCGAGGCGGAGGCCACTGGGGCTTTAACGCTGGGGTCGCACGGCGCCGAGCCAGCCGCAGAAACCCCTCCCCACCGGCGGCCTCGCCCGTTCCCAACGCCTGTGAGTCTGCCTCGTTATCTTCGTGTCCCCCGAGCGCATTCAAGGCGCGTCTGCTGGGAGCCAAGCGGAGGGGGGCGTGCGCCACCTGGGACCCGCAACTGAGATAAAACCCGCGCACTCGACCCGGAGCGCGCGCCGCAGCAGCAGCTGGTGCCCCAGTTCCATCCCAGGACCAGCAGCCAGCCTGCTCCAGCCCGGCCAGTTCTAGACCCCCGGGCTCTGCGGAGAACGACGGCAGAAGCCGTGCTCTCTGAGGGAGCTCGTCACTCGGGCAGGCAAGAAGGAGAGAAGATTAATTAGATAACTATGAGGCTGTCCTAAGTGCTGTGCACAGGATTAAGACCAGCTGCTGTCACAGAAAGTGATAATCGGTTACTTTAGGTCTTTCGGTCAAGAGGACCTCTGAGGAGGTGCGTCTAATCTGAGACCTGAGCGAACAGGACACAGAGAAGGGGGAAGGGCGCTCTACGTGGAGGGAAAAGCAGAGGCCCTAGGGGTGGCTGGTCAGTGGTCTCTTCAAGGAAAGCCAGCGCGGCTGGGAGGGGGCTGGGGAAGAGGGGGGGAGATGAGCCCCAGACGCCCGCTCCTGCAGGGTTCTAAGGCTGCTGGGAAAGCAGTGGGGTTGGCAGGAAACAACACCACCCCAGTTGCCTTTAAGGGGCTCACTCCAGACAGAACGTGGAGAAGGGACTGGGGGTAGGGGGGTGCCCAGGGAGGTCCATGCAGATTCAGGACCTCCTTGCCCACCCATCAGCCTGTCTCTGCAGGCAAACCGACGTTCAGGAGGAGGCAGGATGGGAGAGGATGAGCCGGAGGGGTGTAGCTTTGAATGTGAAGCCCTCGGGGAAGTGGAGGGTCCCGCAGGCAAGGAGGCCCCCTGAGCCGACTCCTGGATCCCAGACGGAGTGAGCAGAGAAAAAGGGTTTCGTGCCTTACGTGGGGAGGCTGTGGGTCTTTCCCATTCCAGAAAGCCAGAGTGAACAGCTGCCTTAAGCGCACGGGCGCGCGCACACACACACACACACACACACACACACGCCCAGAAGGAAGCCTGCACATAGAGTTGCTCCTGGGAGAGAGAGGGGTAAGCGGAGGACGTGAGACTCACCAGGGAAGTCACTGCACTTGTGGGGGGCTCTGCCCCAGTGCATGTGTCTCCTGGTGGTTCCAGTGGCCTGCCTTTCAGTCCTCTGATCCTCCCTGGCTAGCAACTTTAGCTGAACTCCCTGAGAGAAAAACAAAGCCTCTATCTACACGGGGTTTGAGTGCATCATCTGCAGACTGTGGAACGAGGGGTGCCCTGGCCAAGACCTCCCGGGAGCGTCTCTAACAGCCCCCTGGGGCAGCGAAGACCAAGTGCCAGAGATGAGGCTGCTGGGTGGCTGGAGAGGAAGTCTCTGCTCCCAGCACGGTGGCTGGACAGGCTTGGGCAGGACAGGGTAGGACTGCAGGGGGTGGAGAGGGCCCCAAGCTGAGATAGGCTCCTGAAGCAAAGCCAGAGCCACCCAAAAAAAACCTCACAGCCCCCAGGGTCCAGCAAGAGGTGCCAAGCCCCCTAGAATACCCATGGTACAACAGATCCTGTACCCTGAGCCAGGATCTAGGAAATATCAAGTATCTTGGCCCTTTAAGCCCTTGATCATGAGAATCCCCACCTTGTCGTGAAAACTGTGAGACCAGACCACAGACCTCTAACACAGTACCGCTCTAGGGCCCAGTTGTGGGTCTCTGCAAACATAAAGGGGTGCCACCGTGCCCCAATTCTTCCTCCAGGCTCTCCCAGGCTGTGTGTGTCCATTTCAAGCCTCGCTTGAAATGTATTTGAGAGCCAGCAGAGGGGAGAGCTGGTACAGAGTTGATCAAATATTCCAAAACACAGGGTCTGTGCACTGGGGAAATGAGCACACAGTGGCCGTTAAGTGACTGTCTCCCCACCTCTGGGAGGCGGGAACAGGGAAGGGGCTCTATAGACACCTGCCCAGCTGGGGCCCCGAGCCCAGACCCCAGTGCCGGCATGTCTGCTCTTTGCTGAGTGAATGTGCATCTCTCCAGGGCATGACCAATCAAGTGTGAGGCCCTTATTTGGAAGGGGAGGAGACAGCCCCAGAAGGTCACTTTCATTGCTCAAGGTCACTTTCATTTGTTAGTTTACTGAACAGGAAAGCATGAGCCCTGGCCAGGTGGCTCAGTCAGTTAGAGCCAAAGTTGCGGGTTCGATCCCTGGTCAGGACACATAGAAGAATCAATAATGAGTGTTATCAATAAGTGGAACAACAAACTGACGTTCCCCCCTCTCTCCCTTTCTCTTTCTAAAACCAATAAATAAAAGTTTTAAATGAATAAAATTAGAAAGCATTATAGAAGTCTTCACCATAAAGGCATGTACGTGTGTGATCTTATATACATTGTACATGGTACTGCAAAAGAGAGGCATCAGTCTGAGAGCGTCCTGAGTCACGGAGAGGCTTCCTGGAGGAGGTGACACAGGAGTCAGATCTTGAAGAACAAGCAGGAGTTCACCTGACTGTTGGGAGGGAGTCGCACCCGCCAAGGCCCAGAGGGGAGCAGCAGTGAGGCCGGTGTGCAGGCGCCTCGGGGTCTTGTTGCTGGAGGATCCAAGGGCAGCGCTGGGAGGCACAGGGCTCTGGGAGCGGGGGGAGGAAGGGCAGCCCTCTCCCTGGGGCCCTGCTCGTCGACAACAACAACCACGGACCGCCACCTCTTTCCACTTACCTGAACTCTCGCCGTGGAGGGTCATCAGCTCTGAGGCTGAGCATGGACTTCTGTAGGCTTGGGTGTTCGCCTGCACCAAGCTCAGATCACCGAGCGCAAACTCACGGGCGGTGTTCAGAGGCCTGTGGATGGGCGAGGTCTCCGGCGTGGCTCCGAGGGTTTGCATCACGCTGCAAAGCACAAGCTCACCAATTCGATTCCTGGTCAGCGCACGTGCCTGGGCTGCAGATTCGGTCCCTGGTCCGGGCATGTGAAAGAAGCCGCTGATTGGTGTTTCTCACTCACATCAGTGTTTCTCTCCCTCCCTCCCTCTCCCCCTCTCTCCCTCTCTTCCCCTCTCTCTAAAATTAAATAAAAAATTTAAATCGTTTTAAACGAGAAAGAAATCAGGGCCCATGGGAGAGTGACTGTAGTTCCAGGACAGCGCTCACGGAGCACTTCCACGGTTTGTACCGGCCAGTGCGGGGGGCTTCACCGAGGCCGTCTCACTGAGTCCTCACGGTGGCCCTCCAAGGCAGCAGCTCCCCATTTTGAGGCTCACGCAGGTTCAGGCACTTGTCCCAAACACACGGCCAGTAAGTGAGTGGGCTTAGATTTGAACTCGGGCCCTTTGAGCTCAAGAGTGTTCCGACTCTCGCAGATCACTGCCTCCTGCACCCGATCACTCCTCGTCAAAGGGAAGAGCCGGGCCTTCCACTATGGCTCCGGTGCTGCCGTGCTCAGGGCCTGCCCTGTGCCGGCCCCCAGCTTCCTCCTGCTTCAGCACTTCCGTGTTTCAACCAGGACAGTGAGAGGCCAGAGCCTCTGGTGGGTTCAGGGCTGCCCCGCTATCCCTGCAGGCAGATCACTAAAAGCTGTTGGCTTGGTCTCCCAGCTCCTTAGTCCCTGATGTGCTGGGTGAACTCAGGCCAATGCCTAGCCCTCTCTGAGTCACGGCATCCTCACCCAAGCCCTCCCCACAGCACTAGTGTGGAGCGCACAGCAGAGCTCTGGAAAGGCTCCAAAGAGCCGAGCCACACCTCTTCCCCTGCTCTCCCGTCCTCTGGGCCAGGAGAGTGGTCCTTCGTGAACATTTGCTCCCGCGCTCCAGAGGCAAACATAGGGTACGTGAAACAAGGGCCTGTCCCGCAAGCCCAGTGCTTGTGGCAAAGCGGGCTCCAAAGAGTGCCAGGTATGGCCCCGGGCTGCCACCCGCCTCCTTTTTGGATGGATCAGCAGGGAACCCCAAGAACTTAGTGATCAAGTGTCCCAACTCCTAATGACCTGGGGCCAC